ATTACTCTGGGCCCAAAAATGGAAAACCGAAGAGGTTCCGACGATAGAAGAGTTGTTAAAGAAGCTATGGTATATAGCAGAACTAGACACTCTTATCAGAAGCACTATGGGAACAGCCAAGAGACTATGTAAAACAAAGCTGGGAACTAATATATTCTTGGGCCCAGAAGAAAACAGGAGCGTAGGGCAAAGTTTATGATGCATGTATATTTACTCAGTATATACTAAAAATGAAATTGGGGGAGCAGAGGGGTTAACGAGGCTAGAGTCTCTGACTCCAAAGGGGGGAGGGGTTAGTTTAACTTGAGGGGTTAGTTTTTGTGTCCCCCCTTTTTTCCTTTTTTTCCCTTTCTTTTTCCCTTGTCTCTTATTTGTCTCACTTTTTTTCTGTGTAAATACAAAAAAAAAAAAAAAGGATTATGGGTTTGAGTGAGCTGGGAGAGATGTGGACACATGTGTGTGCATGTATGTGCTTTCACACACATACACGTAAAGGTAAAGGTTCCCCTTGACAATTTTTGTCCAGTCGTGTTCGACTCTAGGGGGCGGTGCTCATCCCCGTTTCCAAGCCATAGAGCCAGCGTTTTGTCCGAAGACAATCTTCCGTGGTCACATGGCCAGTGCAACTTGGACACAGAACGCTGTTACCTTCCCACCATAGTGGTCCCTATTTATCTACTCGCATTTGCATGCTTTTGAACCGCTAGGTTGGCGGGAGCTGGGACAAGTGACGGGCGCTCACTCTGTCGCGTGGATTCGATCTTACGACTGCTGGTCTTCTGACCCTGCAGCACAGGCTTCTGCGGTTTAGCCCACAGCGCCACCACGTCCCTCACATACACGTACTCACAAACAAAAAGCAAGATGTTAATTTAGAAAAATGTTACTTACCAGTATTTTTAAGTCAGATTCAGCCGTCATTCTGGTCAAATTCTGCACCTAGTGTGGGTGAATGGGAGCATCTTTTCCCTTACTAATGAAACAAAATGTTATGGTTGGCCCTGCTGGAGCTGGCACTTCAGACTGCAGCAGCATGTATACCCTCCTGTAAAAATATTTCATGCAAATAACAACAACAACCCCCAAACAACTTTTAAAAACCCTACAGCATCTGGAAGAAAGATTTTGACCCATCTAGCTTTTTTTCCAGGGCAAAAAGTAGAGCAGAAGCAAGCATAGAATTGCCAGATTTTCAGACGCTAAAATTCTGAGGTCCGGCAGGCAGAGCCTTGAAGTTCAAGGGTATGTCTGGTAAACCAGAGGGAAGAAACTTGTAACACTAGAAACACCCAATTTTAATAAAATTGGTGTTCCCTTCATTCATGGTCATTTAACCACTAGGGTAAAATAGAGAAGTTTAGTGTTGGAGATATTTAGTATTTTACTGGCAAAATCTAGTGGGAACCCTGGTGAAATTATTTGCAATATGCTTTTGATGCTGTATTCTGATACAGATATGGGCAAATGCATGATAGGAAATACCTTGCCACCTTCCTTCTGGATTCTCAGTTTGAGATTTAACAGCTTCCCCTGGAGGAGTCTCCTTAAAACTTGAGTTGAAACTATGAATCTTGATGAATATAAATAAGCAGTATCAAAAAGTCATTTTTATGATGTGTACTTGAGTCCACGGGCTTTAGAAAAGATGTTCTGAAAAACAGAAGGAGTGACTCTGCTCTCCCTTCTCCATAACTCTGTAGCCAACTGTCTTGCTTCAACAAACTTACTTAGCAAGGCTGCTTTGTGTGGTTTATGCCATCAAGCAGTTCCTAGTAACTTGATAGCAGTATGAGCTAAAGAATCTAGAAGAGCTGGGTGGATAATTCAGTGAAGTGGTTGACAGTTCTGTATGTGTGTTGTGCAAGCTATGTGGCCCCAGAGTGTGTTGAGAAGGGTATTATAAACCATTTTGGTGTACTTTATACCTAGAAAATCACAAGAAGGGATGTCATTATGAGGGTTCGGGTTGAGTCTGAGGTTGTCTCCCTTCCTCTCGGATACCCACTTTATTGAACATGGATGCCAATCGTAGTTGCAACAATTGAACATTTATTTTTGAACTGTTGAGTAAACAATTGTCTTCAACATGAACATAGTCTTTCTCCCTTCCCTCCAACTGGGTAGGAAGGGGTCTTCATTCTTCTAAAATGAAATGATTCCGAAAACTCGAATTCCATGGGCCTGGCTGCTCTGTCGGTAATTAGTCCTTTATTGTTGTCCCTGTCAATACAGGCAACAGGGGTATGGATGCCTCTCCCAAGAATTCCTCCCACTTGGGTCTCTCCCCGAGTTCCAAGATTTCTCAGGTTCTCACGGCTCTAACCTCCTCTTCCATCTCCCACGCTTGCCATTCACTCCTTTCCCTTCTCTCTTACTCCAGACACACACTCTCTCTTCCCTTAATCTCCTCCTACACTCCTTTGCCTTGGCTTCTCCCCAATATGACAGCTTTGGGGGAATTACTGTTCTTCTCCTATGATCTGCTTCCTCTCTGGGCACTTTTAGTCTCTCCCATCTATGGGTCCAAGAATCTTCCAACCAGATCCATTCCCAACCTGGTGGTAATGTTCCTTCCTTTTTTATCTCCTCCCTTTCTCCCGCTCTAATCCCCCCCCTCCTCTCTCTTTCCTGCCTTTTCTAACTGGTCTTTTAGCTTTCCCATCCTGCTTGGGCCCTGGGACGGTTCTTTCTCTTTGGTCCCCTTGAGGGAATCCTCCATGGTTTTCTTTCAGGGAACCACCAGTCCATAGTCCTCAGATTCCTTTGTGGGAATGAACGGTGCTCCGGTAAGAGGTTCCTCCATCTCACCTCCTGGCTCACAGCCATAAATTGGAATTGACCTAACAGCATAGTATTATTATGAAATAATGACCTTAAAGCCTCAGTCTGAATGCCAGATATATGTAGGTAGGAAGTTTCATCATTGTTGTTGCAATGGGGAGGGGGGGAGAAGTGTGCTGAAAACACAGCTATTGGCTATTGAGAAAATATAACAAGTCCTCACAATAGTTTTGCTTAGGGAATAGGATAATAGGTTTGAGACTGTAAAGCTGCGATTTGTTTCTGAAATAGGGGCAGTGAAATAATTCTACTTATTAAATATACATTATCTGATGTAAATTAAAATAGGTTAAAATTCAAATGACACAATTTGCAGGCCTATTTGGGACTCACCCTTTGGCAGTCCCATGTGACAACATACAAGCACCATATGTGAGATGGAAAGTCCCATGTTCCAATTTTGGAACAGCCATCTGTAAAAGCTTTTTCAAGCTAATCAAGTGGCCAGTGATAAACTATCTGGCCCCACCAGGTACCTGGTTTCTCCAAAAATAAGACCTAACCTGGAAATAAGCCCTAGTATGATTTTTCAGGATGCTCGTAATATAAGCCCTAACCCAAATATAAGCCCCATTTAAGTAAAACCCTGTCCTCCACCATTGCACAGCAAACAGAAAAAGACATGACTGTATTTGAGTAAATGTAGATGGTTGTACAGTACATGAAAAAAACATCCCCTGAAAGTAAGCCCTAACACATTTTTGGAGCAAAAATTAATATAAGACCCTGTCTTATTTTCGGGGAAACGTGGTAGTTCTGACAAGACAAAGGGAAAAACGTGTGTTTTTTGGTCATTTCTTTCCTTTATTGGGCTGCAACCTACAGCATCAGATTTGGTCCAAATAATGAGGGTAAATTCACTAAATTAAAGGGGAGCAAATGATATCCCAGGTTCTATGCTAGTTTTGGAACTGTATGCTGCTTGCTGCCAGGATTACTGACTGGCAGGATGAAGGATGCTGTGCATTAGTAAACTTGTGATCTGCACCAGTTTTGGAGTTTTAGAGACAGAGATGGAAACAGTTATTTTTCTGGAATTGCAGCTCTCAGAATACAGAAAAAGAACTAGAGTAACGTAGCATTTTAATGAAGAAAGATGTGAAAATAAAAAAACCCCACAAACTCTAGTATAATGCCACCTTGAATTTTGCAACTTCCTGTTTCTGTAATTTCAAACATCTCAAATTAGCACATTTTAAACATGGACATAGGAGGTTCTGTGCAGGTATGCTTGCACACCTTCTTGTGTTACAAATCTCCCGTACACTGAATGTGAAGAAAACATGTAAATCGTTATATAGGCAAAACAAAATTCCCTCTAAAACCACATTTTAAAAGGGATTTTTTTTCCCGATTTCAACTTAATTTTGGCGGAAAAAGGATAATTGAAAGTTTCGGAGTCCTAGTAACAGGATGAAACACCGTAACATGCAGGCTGTCAACACTGAAGGACTCTTCGATTGGTTACCAATGGCAACACGGCTAATATGGCGCCCTTTCGTAAAGGAAGACGCCGCCACAAGGCGGTTATGCAGATGACGTACTGGGTGGGGGAGGGGCAAGGAATGGCTGCGGAAACTCGTGCGTATGGACATGTTGTCCAAAGACAACGGAAAAGGAGCGAGTGCCATTTCGACCAATGATTGGTTGCTTTTTCTGTCACTCAAACACCTTGCTGCTGAGAGCTTAGTGAGCATTTAACGGATTGGCGAACGCGTTTTGTCAGCGTGTTCTGGACTGCCTTCTACTACTGGGGTTTTTCTCCTGTCAGTTTTCTTGAGTGGGGGGGGCGGTTTCAACCACCCTATCTCGCTCCTTTTATCTATATACGCTCTGATTGGCCATTACGTTATCACTAGCTGAGAGATTTGTAGGAAGGAGGCTCTGTTTATCTGATTGGATAACAGGGCAGTCACTTATCTTTGTCTTTGAGGAGGATTGGCTGGGGCAGGGCGGAGGTGGGTTGAGGAGAGCTCGGAGACAGGCTCTCGGTGTTTGGGCTTAGAACCGGCACCAGGGCAAGGCCGCCCGGAGGCAGCCGTGGACGCTGAGCGGCGTTAGCCGAAGAGAGCTGGTACGGAATCAAAGACGAGATAGTAGACTGACATGAGGTGAAATAGGTGGCGCCAGACAAAGCGCGCGTGTGTGGTGAAGAGTAGAAGGGGTCCCGAAGAAAGGGGAGACAGCAGAGGGTGGTGAGGTGGTGGGGAGGAGGAGGAGGAGGAGAAGTGTGGAGGGGCCGAAAAGGCCAGGCCGCTGCGAGGGGGGGGAAGAAAGAGGGCTTATGGGGCCTCTAACGTGAGCGTTGGGGGAAAAGGGGCAGAAGGTAAAGAAATGGGGGTCGAGGAACGGCGCCTGGGTGTGGGCCAGGTAGAGGAGAAGAGAAGAGGGATGGCGAGGGGCCTGGAGGAGAAGCGGGGAAGATGTGAAGCGAAAAAACGAGGACTGCTTCAGCAACGGGGTTGCTCAACAGGAAAGGGCTGAGGAGAGGGAAGTTTGGAGTCCGAGGTCAGGGAAGGGCTGTGGTATAGGGCAAATGCAGGCGTTCCCTTTGACTTGGCTTTATGGGAGGAGAGGGCAGGCAGGCAGGCAGGCGTGGGGCTGATGGTGGCAGGGCAAGATCTGACGAAAGGGGAGTGAGTGCTGGGAGTTAAAGGGCACAGTAGGAGTACAGGGAAGACAAAGGGAGAAGGTAGGGAGGGCTAAGGCTGGGAGGAGGTTGCAAGTGAAAGCTGGAGAAGCCAGGCTTGGGAAAAGTCTTTTCCTCTGGTTTTCGAGGTGACAGGAAAGGCAACCAACCTGAAGCTAGAGTTCAAAAGAAATACTGGAAGTGAATGTGGGCCAGCTTGTTAGAAAGTGAAAAAGTTTTTATTTAAAAAAAAATTGGGTGGAAGGGAAGAGAAAGCAGTGATAGATGAGTGAAATGGAAAGGAGAGGGGGGAAGATTGAAAAACTTGGAGAAGAGAAGTAAGAAAATAAGGCACAGAAATGGAAAGGGCTTAAGGGACGAATTTTAGAAGTAGCAATGATGGTGAGGCTAAGGGATTCTAGGGTGTATTAAATATGGAATTCATGTGGGTTTTTGTAGTGGTTGTTGGTGAATCCTAAGTGGCACTAGAGAGGGGATGGTAGAAAAATAATGTACAGTATATGGTTTTATGTTGTGACTATAATTTAAGGGGTATTCTGGTCTACCTCACAAAGTCTTTGGAAGAAGTGGTGTAACAGTATCTCTGAATACCCAGAAAGAGTACTATTTGAATGCTAGGAGGACAAGCTAGACAGAGTTCTAAGCAGTTGGGGATTTGTGGGAGGTACTGTTTATGCATGTAACTGCTTCCCTTGACTGAAGGGGAGCTCTTGCTGTTCCCACATACTTTATGCTATATTCCAACCTATTGTGGTGGACTCATATGAGAGAGAAATCAGAAGAGTGATATTGTTTTTAAGAGTCTCTCTCTCTCTGTCTCTCTCTCTCTCTCTCTCTCTCTCTCTCTCTGTGTGTACGTATATGTGTACACATACTTTTATTGAAGTGCCTTACAGTTTTCTGAGGGTTTCCTTTGTTGGACAGTACAGTTGTAGGGTTTCTGATTATTCATATAGAATACTTTTAAATTTTTACTTTTAAATTAAATTTTAACCATCTTAATGTATTTGTGTGGCCATTTGTCCACTTGATATTTCTTTCTTTCATCTTTGGGGAATGTTGATTAAGATTGCTTTAAGAGCAGCCAGTCTCCTTTGATTAAATATATTTCATTGGTTCTTCAAAGAGAACCAATGCAGCCCAATAACCATTTAGGGTCAGAATGGAATGCTAGGCAGATAAAAGTACCTTTTATAATGATTATGGACAAGGAAATAAAATAAAACAAGAGGCTTAATTATTTTATGGAGGATAGATATTATTGTAGCTAGGAGAAATAGTCTGGATTTTCTAGACTAGAAGACAAGGATTATTGGAGTGAGGGGGAATTATTTGTTTTGGAGGCTGGGAAATGTTTGAGATGACAGAAGAAATGAAATACTTTAAAAGGGAGAAGAAAGTGATAAATTAGAGAATCTTTGGACTGTTCACCCATAAACTCACTTCCTGTAAAAATTGTTATTTAATCCAGGACAGCTGCCACTTCCTGACCCTACTAGTTGCAGTTTGAATAAAATGAGTTGGAATCCTCCTGCCACAGACAAATTTTCATAAATGAATTCAGCAATGCTGTTTAAACATTCTGCTTAACTGTTTTGATTGTGAATATGGAAGTGTTGCGGAAGCTGTAGTCTTTTATAAATTATCTCGGTCAAATCCCTATTGGTTTCAGTGTGACAATATTCAGGTAGATGTACAGTATAGGATTGCGCTGTCAATTGTGTTAAAGGGCTTTCTATGTGATTTGCTGTATACAGCCTTAGAGCAAAGTGTGATTATGGTAAAAATAAAACAGGGAAATAATAATTTATAGAAGAGGGACAACAATTAAATATGTGCTTCCTCTTTTTGCTGTTCCAATAGTACAGGCTCCATACTAGTCTGTGAAAGTATTCTGGGTTAGTGATTTGCCTGGGGAATTTCCTAGATTCTCTTCCATGCCAGTAAAATGCATTTTGACAAGGTTTAAAATGGGACTGAAATGTGAGCCCAGAAAGTCATACTGATCCAGAAGTCAGAAACTTTAGTGGGGCATATCAAAGAGCATGTGTTGGGAGATTCTGTGTCTCATTTAAAAACATCAACAGCTTAGAAATCACATGTCTCTGTTGGAAATGGAAAGAGGGTGCTGAAATTTGATAGTATACCAAAGCAAAGAGATTGACTTAGGATGAATACAAGGTTACTTTTTAACAGAGCAAGGTGTGAACATTTTGGAACATCTTGTCTCCAACTTATTATGGGGATGATATATCTATATGTGGGTTATGGAAAAAAATGAAATATTAATTGGGACAACATTTATATTGAAGTGTTTTTTTAAGACTGATAAGATATGGTGTTTCTACTTAGAACTTGTCTACATTTTAGTTTTAGTTTTGATGCTGGCATTATTTAATTGCATGGAAGTTTTTTTCTGTGAGTTTTGTAATAGTCGTACTAAGCTTTTCCTAGTCTCATATTGCTACTTCAGAAGTGTCTGTAGGTGCCACTTGATATGTGGCTTCTTAGTAGCAATTTAATGTTGAAAATTTAATCATGGGCCCTTCCTAGAAGGGAGCTTGTTTGGCCTTGTGTATTCATCCATGTAAACATGTATCGATTCTTGATGCTTGCTGCCTTGCCATCCTTTTCAGTATTATTTCCAGGACTCATGCTGATTCCTTACAATTATCAGAGAAGATGGATAAGAGATTGAAGGAAATAAGGAGGTGGAAGGTATTAGAGATCTTTCCCAAATAGATGTAGGAAGTTTTTCCAGTGATCTACTGGTCCACCAGTAATATATCCTTCCAATTGATATGGTGAGTTTTGCACAAAATGTTGCAGGAAAAGTGGTTTGAGGATCCTTAATTGGAAGTGTATGTAAGTAATGTGCATTCAGACAGTTTTGGTCTCCTTGGGCAGAATAAGGGTTAATATTGTTAGTCTCTCTAGGAGCACAAATATATGTATATAATAGGAATTGGTCACACAGAGATGAGAGTCAGAAGACCAAGTGATTTGTGGATGGGGACCAGAGAAGCAGACCTGAATGTCTAAAGTAGGAGCTTCACCAATTTGTTTAGAATCTTACCCTATTGGATAGATGTGGGCTTCTGTCCTTTATTTCCACCCTTATGTGTGTAAATTGGAGTGAATAGATGCAGAAACGTTAATGATTAGCTGTCTGCTGCTCTAAAAGTAAATGGTACATCTAGGCACTTGCACTAATTGTAAACTGTCCCAAAAACCACACGGAGCAGAGGCATAAACAGCATCCTTCAACATTGTGACTGAAAACGCAGGTAGAGAATGAAGATGATTGAAAAGTGGAGTAGACATTGCAATGTTGATATTTTTTGTCTCTTTTCAATGTCTTGCTGATGAATAAAAAGGAGCTGACGAGGAAGCCCCAATGGGAATGAAAAATTTGATACTGTCTCGAATTGAAGAATGAAGTAGAAACAAAAATCAGGGTGGTACTAATCCAAATTTTACCTTGGCTTTTTGCATCAGTATATTCCTTCTTTAGTCACTTTTTAGGTGGATTCTGCACATAAGATTGTCCTTGTGTCCCATAGAAAATTAAACATGTCAGTGTTAAAGTCTGTTCAAAGAGTGCTGTCTCCAGTGCTTTATCACTTTCATTTTTGGCTGTGTTTCAGTTTCTGACGAAACCCACAGCAAGCAGAAGAGTCTTTGAACCTTTCCCTGCTTTGGAATCCTGGATTCTTAACTGCTCCTTCAGAAGCTTCTCGGAGCTGGAGGAGGAAGAAGGAGGGGGAAGGAGTGGATTTGCAGCTGTTCCACTCGACTTGTCCCATCTTGTCCTTGGTGTGGGAAGCTAGAAAACTCAAGGAAGTTGCCGCATGTGGACTCTTTGAGACAGTAAGTCACATGGTTTAAATGCAACTACCTCAGCTTGGTTACAAAACAGTCTTGCATTTTTGAATAGGCAGAGAGTACTGAAACAGGAGTCCTGAGAGGCAGTTTTCTCACTTCTGGAAGCTTTTAGAATTTGATTCTCTTGGTGGTAATCTGATTGCTTTGAGATTTCTTTTTAAAATGCAGTGTGAACATTGTTGCAATATGAGTGCTTTATGGCTGGGTAGAGAGCTAGCTTAATAGTTGTTGTGAGTTTTATTAAATATCTGCTACATGCACTGTTTTTCCTTTCCAGAAATGCTTTCTCTGAAGAAATATTTCACAGAAGGACTGATCCAGTTCACCATTCTTCTCAGTTTGATCGGTGTGAGAGTGGACATAGATACCTATCTTAACTCACATCTTCCCCCTCTTCGGGAGATCTTTCTGGGCCAGAGCTCGGCTTACACCCAGACACAGTTCCACAACCTGCGGAACACTTTAGATGGCTATGTCATCCATCCCAAAAGTGTAGATCTGGACTACTATTTTACAGCTCGCCGGCTTCTTAACCAGGTAAGGGCCCTGGACAGGTTTCAGGTGCCCACCACTGAAGTTAGTGCCTGGTTGGTACATCGAGATCCTGAAGGTTCTGTCTCTAGTGCCCAACCCAGTACTGGTATTGCCCTTGAGAATGGCAGTGGCTTACAAGATGGAACTGTTCCAGAGAGTGTAGCCAGGGAAAACGGAGCGGAACAAGGATTTGGTGAAGAGTTGGAAGATCTAGGTGCGGTGGCCCCTCCAGTGAATGGTGATCTAACCAAAGAGGTATGTTGTTACATATAGTGAAATACACGGGCTGTGGTGATAGGGATAAGGGAATGTTTGAGGACTTATTTGTGACTTTCAACAGTAAAGTGGTTATTGTCACTAGTTTGGCACCTTATTGACCTGTGTGGCTGGGGAGGATATTGGATATGTATTCTTTTTGATAGGAGGCATGCTTGTCTGAACCTAAGATGACTACTTTTGTTTTTAGCTTTTGCTTGTGGGAGGCATCTTGCTCAAGTCAGTAACATCACCTGCTTATTTTGCAGCATTAGGTAATAGTCTCTTTGCCCATATCAAATGGATGGTGGTTTATTCAGCTTTGGCATTCTTCCAGGGTTTTTTGTTGTTGTTAATGTAGATGTGTTGTGGTTTAGCTTGTTTGTATCTATGCTTTGCTTATTGGTTAATGTTTATATGCATGCTGAGGCCCCTGTGCTAAATACCGCATGGAATGGTTCTGGAGAATTGCTTTCAGACCATGCTTAATCCCTGGCATCCTGTGTTCTAAGTGGACATGGTTACTAGAGCTGGTGGCCAGGCTGCAGATTGTTGAAACAGCTGTTGTGGCTCTCTTCCACTCTTGTCATATTCCCTCATCCCCTCCATTGTCAAAAATAGGCTAACTATTTCAGAGTTATGCCCTTGGAAATTTAAAAGTAAAATTTGATGTGCATGTGGAGGTTTCCTCTGGTGGTTGAGGAAATAAGGTCACTTAAACTGGTGTGTGTGTGTGTGTGTGCGTGCGTGCGTGCGTGCGTGTGTGTGTTGTGCTAAGAACAGGAAATCAAGACAGAAAAGCACCTTTTGTATTTTGGATATCCTGTGGGAATGGTGGGGAAGATGAATGTAGGTTTGCAGTTTTTCATTTGCACTCTTAAAATGGTTGGAGATGATGGAAGGAGGGAGAAAAAGCTCCTAAGGTTTGCAGAAACCCTTGTTTTAAAGAAATGTGGTGTTTTCAGTCTGAATCTTTAGGCTCTCTCTGGCCTTGTCATATTGTTTGGATGACCATGCTTTGGTGCCATTCATCTTGGGTGGCGGCTAGAGTTGCATATATCATTAAAGTATTTCATATCACATTTAAGTATACGGAACACTTCATTGTGCCTGTAATTCTTAACATGTGTGCAGAAACTTTTTATTGACTTTATCCCTGGGGGTTAATGTCCATGAAGCGGGTGCCCTGGTGCTGCTCCAGTGCAATGCTTGTTGAAGTGAAGGATTTGCCAGTTGCACAGCATTGCCTAGGGCAGTGGTCCCCAACCTTTTCCTTACCGTGGAGCAGTTGGAGGGGTGTGCTTGCAGGGGGATGGGGGTGATCACAGGGGGGGTGGGCCATGCCTGTGTTTGGGCATGCATGGGGTGTGTGTGCAGGGGGGCAGGAGATCTGTCTCCACAGCTTGGTTCTGCCAAGGCCACGGACCAGCATCAGGCCGCGGACCAGGGGTGGCGACCCCTGGCCTGGGGGACAACTGAGTATACTCACAATGCTTTCCCACTCTTCAGAGAGGTGCCTTCTGTGTCCCCCACTGTAAGCTTATAAAGCTGCTAGTGGCTGTGAGAATACAGTCAGTCAGTTCGCTTTTTTTCAGGTATCCAGATACAGGCTACCCTGGATTTGGATTAGGTCAGTGGTTCCCAAATGTTTTCCATTTGTGGCTCTCTTGACCTGTCCTGGAGACTCCTCCATGCAAAAAAAGGTTTTTCCACTGCTGCCTCTTCTCCTCCTATGCAGGCAGGTATCCAAGGATGGGGGTGCAGCTTGCCCTGGGGTCTGTGCCTAGGCATGGGCAGGGTGTTAGGCATGATCCCGACTGGCATGCCGGGAGCCCTGTCAGCCAGGGAGAGGGAGGCAATGGTGAAGGATGACAGGATTCCACATCACCCATTGCTGGGTTTAGCAGTACCCCAGGGCACCTCAGTGTAGAGTTTGGGAACCACTGGGTTAGGTAATGCAAGTTTAAAAGGTTGGGTGTCACCCCTTCCAGCAAGCACATCCTAAATATAAATGGAGAGCAAAAATGAAGATTAGGAAGAAATACAGAACAGTTGCAGTAACTGAGATCTGACAGTTCAGAGTGTTCTAAGTGCTCTGTGTTTCTTGTTTTCTCTTGATGAGATAATATTAGCCCTTTTCATTCTTGTGATATACTAGATGATGCACTGAATAGAAGCGGATTCAACAGGCATATGTTTTACTTTGTACAGACAATATGGGGAGTGGAATAGTTGTGAATGAAAGGAAGTGGTGTTGGTGGAGAGTGGTTATTGTCATAGAGGAGGTAAAATAGGCCAAAATGCTACAGAAAAGTCTGCATGAAAAATGATGTGTTATTAACTTGGACTTAATTACTTGCTTAGATACCTCTTGAACTGAATTATTGGAAAAAATGAACATCAGGAAGTAGTCAGAATTTGATTGGAAACTGAGACGTATTATAGATGCTAAGCACCAATGTTGTGTTAGATTCTGTATATCATTTGTAGCCTCCTCTAACACTGCTGTGTTACAGCTGCCGGGATTATAGAATGGGCTTAATTGTTATGAGTACTAAGGAGGAGGAAGAGCAGCACAAGGAACCCTGAGCACTTTGATCTGTTGCCTTAAGCTACCTGTATGTGGGGAAACTAGTTCAAATCCTTGCTTAGTTTTGAAACTGACTAGGTGGCTTGTGTAAGTCATTGCTTTGTAGCCTAAACTGCTTCATGATTATTGCGAAGCTTAGTACTTGTATGGGCCTCTCAAGGGACAGGCAGGATACAGCTGTAATAAATTGTGTGTAGGAGAGTAGCAGAGTTTGAGCTATTATGACTTAATAATTAGAGACTGGATCTGGAAGAAATGTGTCGATTTGGCCAGGAATTTACTATGTGACTCCTGGAGTGGGAATTGTCTTGCTTTCTCATTGTTGCCTACCTCAGGGTGGTTTTGAGATTGTAGCTCATGTAGGTCATAAAGCAATTGCTCCTTACTTCTCACAGAAACTTCGTAAAACTGTTGTAGTTGTAGCAGTGGTCTATGGTGTTTTTTATGAAGAAGCTCAAACAGTACTATGAGGTCTTGCTTTCTTGTAAGACCTTACTCTACCTTGCTGTTTCTGTGGAAGGTTATGGCAAACAAGTTATATCAGCAAGTGCCAGATATATGCATTGTGAGTAGTATAAGATCACTTTTAAGCCTTGCTTTTCTTTTCCTGCTTCCTAAAAATCTCAGGCAACTCCCAAATGTGTTCCTGGGTTTGATATTGTGCGTTTTAAAAATTCTCATTTCTCATTGTATGTTCTTTGACCACTGGATGCAGTGAGCCTGCTACAAATCCTATCTAGTTTAGACTGGATCCACCAACAGGGAAGAATTTTCTCCAAATACCAGCTTGTGTGGGAGGTAAGCTTAGTTGCACTTCTCAAAACATTTTTCTTCCTTTATCCCATAGTTACAAATGCTGCAAATGACTTGATATGGGCCCATAGCTCCTTCCACAGCAACTACACATCCTCACACTGCCATTTTAAGAAGTTATGTCCTCTGTGCCAATGGAGTATCTTTGATTAATTGTTTCCATGCTCTCACACCAGAAGATGGTGTGAGAGCATGGTTTTCCAAGACTCGATCCTGAACATGTGAATTGTTAATAAAGAGCTTCTGATTCTTTACTTCACTGTGTGATAATTACCAGCCAGAATGTAGCAGAGGAATTAATTCTATGAGTTGGTTTTTATTTGTGTTTGCCATTTTGTTAAACAAAAATACATAGGATGGCTTGGAAGGCAATTAAAAACATTAAAATACAGCAACAATGCTTATATTAAAATTGAAAAAAATCATGGCTTCCTGACATGCCTGAATCTCTCAGCACTTAACATCTTTAGAATCTGCAACCTGAAAATTATGGGGCAGCCTGAGAGATACAGCTTGTTCGTCATAAAAGTATTCTACTTCTGTTTGCTATATGAAATAGCAAGTGATCCTTTGGTTTTTATACTGTGATATCGTTCTGGTAGTTGACAGTGAATGGGCTGGGAAAGATCTAGCCGTTTCCTGGGTCAGTTCATCACAGTAGAGTTCATGCTTTTCATTCTCAATAAACTTTATTCTGGTTTCTATCTGTAAAGCATCTTCTAAAAACAGCCATCTACCTACTATGTATTTTATATCTCTGTGCTCACTATGGCTGAAGTCTAGGCCCATTGAATCAGTGGGATTTTGGTGGGTCATCTGCTCCATGAGTTCCATTGATTCAAGGGGCCTACTATAGTGGATTTCAGCCTATATCTGCTAGTCTTTCTGTCTAGTGTTCAGACTCTGTGGACATAAGTGTGCTCCCTTTAAATCTTCCTAATTGCCCAAACACTTAGACTTTTAATGCAAACAATTTTGTACTATCCCCAGAGGAAAACTTGGACATGAGAAGTCTCATGTTACTCCTCTAGTGTATCTTTATTGTGTTGATGGTTTTCTTTATTCTCAAATTGCTTCATAAATAAGGACACATTGACTGTTAAAGGATCAAGTTTCCCTTATTTTTTCTTGTTGTCCTAAGATTTGTATTGTGTTGGTACTACTTTCAGGTCTGCTGCTCCTAGTCACTGTTTTGATAGCCACTACATTGGACCCTGTGTTTAAATCTCCACTTCCTGTCCTTTATGGAACCACAGAGAAACAATCTGTGTCTGATAGCCAAAGATGATTCTCAAAAATTAAAGTTGTCTTAAGATTTTTGCTGTCCATCTTGGAAGCTCTTCTTTCTAATTTTTATTTGTTTTGAGACAGGGTGTCCTTAATGGTATTGTGAAACAAAAATTGTTTGCCAGTGCTCAGAGATATTTATGCATTGGGCCTAAACATTGCCTCAAAATAAGTTCTAGATATTTCTTACTGAATGCTTCCTATGATTGGAATCAGAGTTTGGAGGAAGAAAAACATCCTCTAAAAATCCCTCAAAGTAGGTTTCTGAGTCTTTTTGTTCATTGACTTTGTCTTCTCTACAGCAGGGTGG